GCAGCGGGCGGCTTTGGATGGTTACGTCGTCGAGCACCATGGTATGGAGGCGCGCTGAGAAAAGAAAAAGTGACGAATGCGAGAGATCCACCGAGCGCCTTGGACTGACCACTCTGCAACGGCGGGATCGAAATCATGGAGTACATGCAGAAACGAATGGCGCCAAGAAAGAAGATAGCGTCAGTCACAGTGCACCCGGCGCCGCGCTGTCTCCTAGTCCCCACTGCCATACGTAGTAAGCCACTACAGTGTATTGCCAAGTACAGCGGCGACCGGCGACGGCGGGACGCTACCATACGGACGCAACGCACGTTACATTTCTGGGCACTTGGTGGGACGCCACGTCATTCGCCTGCGGTTTGGGTGGCTGCACTGACCTTCAAGCCGATCTGCGACATTCAAAATCGTATTTATCGGAAATTTCACGTCGACCGACTCTTGCTTGGAATGTCCAAAACTGAACTCAAGGGGTCGCATTGTGCCGTCGCCATCCAGTTGGACTAGGGCAAAACATGCGTACTGCCGCACTCTATGCCACGCTGGGAACAAGCATTATTGAAGGCTTGCGCTTTTACAACCGTGGACATCACCGTTCCAGGACACGGACAGGTCCGATGTTAGACCGATAAGAATGGTTTTGATTTTCCAGTCTAGTCGAAACACCCGATCGAGCAAGTCGTGCGACTTGACTGCGTTGCGATATATTGCGCAGCCGAAGGCGCGTAAAATTCCGACGCATATCTCATCTTCCATTCCTCATCTCAGCAATCCAAGACGCGACCCATCATGGAACGCTCCGCTACTCGTCGTCGAACCAGCCAGAGACCATCGCTTCGAAATCGGCGTCGTCGTCTTCGGGTCTTTTTTCTACTAATCACAACAACTCATAATCATTCGCATTCTTGCGATCTACCTTGTTTCTTTGACTCGTTTCGCGGCTGGCGCATCGACGCCTTCCGAGTTGATCGGGACGCTGGTTTGGCCGTCGCATTTGGTTGCCCGAACGATTGGAGGCAGCGCTTGATGTCGGGGCGGAGCGCATTCGTCGCACATCTACTTCTGCGTTGTCGACGGTATTACGGCGATAGGGGCGCGTCACCGGAGCCGATCGGCTTCACTTCGCGTCACGTCGTTGCGATGAGCGGAGTAGCACGATAAGAGGAGCTCGACAACGTCCTTGTGGCCACAAAGCTGCACATGCCATTAGTAGCGGACGAGGTAGAATGGCGCGGACACTGGCATAGTAGATCGGAAGGTTGTCGAAGGTGTCGCGCTCGCTCCACGCACTGACGCCATCCTGTAGCCGGGACTTGACGACATCAAGTTGTCCGAGCTTGCATGCGACCCAGATGGTCGGCGTCGCTGGCGGTGCAACGTCCCGGGGTGCCAGAAAGGCCAGAAGCGGCGCCGTGTCGGTGATGCAAATGCCCTTCACTTGTAGTGTGAGATGTTGTGGAGACGACTCGAGTCGCCACCGTGGTGGAGGCCACGCACGCACAGCCGAAGTGCTGCAAGCTACCGAGGAGATCGTCGACGGCAATGCGTAGCCCATACTCGTGGGCCAGCATCGTCGCGATCTCGGCCAGCGGGATCGCGCCCCGTTGGTCCTAGTGACATTTACGTGCTGCAGCAACTCTGTGAATATAGCGTGCTACCGATGCGCATCGCCTCAATGCCAGTGCGAGACGCTCGGTGTTCAAGACATTCGGGTCGTCGTTGTGCTGTTTGAGCAGGAGCCGGCGCCGGTAGACGTGGGCAGACGCACCGCTGCCCATGCTATTGGGACTATACTTAGTCGCCAATCGGCACTCGGTCCGCTACCATGTACATGTACTACTGCACTGAGGCAAGAACGGCGAGGTGTTCTACGTCCGGGCAGTATAGGAAGGCCGTTGAAGAGCAGACTGGACACATGGTCGTCACGCTCGAACTACAAGACGATGTCGATTAGCGCGTGACGCACGACGACGCGCGCCTTGATGACGTGGCAACGCACCCTGCAACGTAAACCGGTTTGTGCAACCGGCTAAGTTTTCCGGCTACACAAACCGGCCTTAAAACTTGGGTCCCAGGGTTAGTCCCAGGGTTAGTCCCATGGATTGATTTCGTTTGAGCAAATTTTGTTTCTAGCTTGTAGACTGACACTAGCATAGCTAGCACATGCATGAACGTGTTTCGCGTTCTCTTCGTTGTTACAACGACTTTACATACGTACTACGTAGTAGGGACTAGCATTCTCCTTCTTCGTTCGAGCGCCGGGCTGTGGCTGCGTAGGCGGCGGCGCATCGTGCTCTTCTGTCGTCGACCTTGCGGCCGTGAGTGAGGCCCATGACGACGCGCTCCGTAAAGTCCTCCAGGCGACGAGATAACTTCTCACTGCACATAGGCTTGCAAAGAGAAAAGCGAGTCCGAGTTGTTGTATGGTAGAGGTCAGGAGGTTAGGAGGATGTTTGACTGGGGCTAGAGGCTCCATGTCCACGAGACCCAAGGGAATAATCTCGCTTGACGAGACCTGCCGTCGTCTCGTTGGTGGTCTTCGGCGAACTGTTTTTACTGGCTTCTATTTCGCGTCGCAGGAAACAAATGCAATTCTAGGAGGACCAAGCGACGGACATGCGTCGAATGAACTCAACAACCTGTTGGAACGAATGGTTTCTAATGCGAGTTTGGAATCATATTTGTACCCGTCGTCAATTGCGAGCAAAGATATATTGAGGAATCCTACAATATATTGTTCGCCTTGTAGCCACCAAACGTGAGCGTCAACAGGAACGGGGATCTCATGCGTCGCTAGACGTTTAGCAAGGGTATATAATCGATGTATCTATTGTATACCCTTGCCGTCCAGGCAGCAATGCTCGTCTCTACCGACGCCATGTCGCCGACCGTCGCTTCAAGAACCCGGCGCTCTCCTTGCTCGAACTTCCCTTGGGCACGCGGTACTATACCACTTGTCGTTGGTGTTCCTCTTAAAGTCCTCGTAATATGCACAATACGTCTACTAATTGCGCCGCAACCCGCCCAATGATGAACCTGGATGCCATGTGTTGCATCATGGTCTCCTCCGTGACGTCAGATCCCACGTCCACGTTATGCATGGAGCCGGAAGGGTAGTACCCGTACCGGTATGTACGACGAGCTACGCTCCTTGTCTCCTACCAGGTCCAGGGCATCAAGTTCGCTGCAGGCTATATAAATTAGAAGAGAACGAGGCCATATCTTGCATCAATTTCGAGTGCGTTTTTGGCGCTGACTGTGGTTTGCGCGCCTGTCAGCTTGTAGTACCTTCAACGATCCAAGATTCGTACCGAATCTTGCACAAGGCCAAGCACTTTACTCGGCGCAGGGTACGTCTGGGCCCGAACCCATCATCCCACCACCTGGTCACACGACAGATCGGTTGTCAGCGCCTGCGAGAAGACACCACTTTTGATTTTTCCGAGCCCACGGCATGATGACGTTTGAGAGCGCGACCCTCGGCAGCGCAGAGGCGCTCCTCCTTCTCTCCAACAACCTCCTTCTGCTTGGCCCGCTCGTCTTCTCGCTCGGTGCCATGGTCGTGCGCGCGTCGCTCTGCTCCCAAGTCGTCTTGCTCCACTGCGACGCCGACAGTGTTGTCTAGCGTTTTGTTATGCGCTTGTTTGTCTTAATGTACTCTGCGTTATTGTCCGTGTTTTCTACCGTGTCTGCCCTAAAGGGACTCGATTCCCTTGCTGCCCACGCGTGTACAGTGTGTGAGCGAGCTCTGGCATGAAGCCGATGAGCAGCAACAAGCACGAAGCTCTCATCGCGCCGTCGTCCCGCGAAGGCACCAGAAGAGATAAAGTCGGCCGAGTGCTACGATCCAACTGGATTCAAAACCATAGAGACACGCTCGAACCGTTCGTAACCGCTGTGCCCCCATATTGAACTATTGTGAATGGCACCATTTGGTCATGATGTTATCTCACGACGTGTTGATGCGGTCGATGCGCTAGCCCTTCTGGCGCAGACATCCTATGCCTCCTACCGCCGGCCACTGTGTCCGCGTCGCCTCGTCGATCGATAGGCAGAGACTACGAGGGTCGGGATCATCCCGGGCGAGGCGGGATGATGATGATGGTGCAGCGGAAAACTAGGGTAGACTCAACAGTGGCATGGCACCCATGCCTTCATGCACAGCCGATGCAGGTGACGCACGTCGCTCCGTCGCTGGTCCAGCGCGTTGGTTCTTGCCCTCTGGTCCGCGACCTCGATCGAAGCGACCACGCATTGCCAACGGCTCTGGCGCGGAAAGCGATTCGTTTCCAAGCCGTCGGTGGAAGGACGAGCTGGCAGGACGAGAAAGAAGCATCTGCACCGATGGGTGTATGCAGGACCGATCGCGCGCGTGTTGACGCCGGTCTTGTCTCTTCGCAGTTCCGGTACCAGAGTGGACGCAGCGTGGCACTCGACAGCCACTTTCTGTATGTCGATCGACGCCAGCGCCGACGCGTCGGCCCTGCTCTTCGTCGTAGCGCTCTCGAGCAACTTGCTTGTGCTCGGTCCGCTCGTCTTCTCGCTCGGCATGATGGTCCTCCGCGCGTCCATTTGCTCCCAAGTCGTCTTGCTCCAGTACGACGCCGACAGTATCGTCTAGCAGCTTGGTCGACCTCGTCTCAAGTCTGCGTTTGGTTGATGCTAGTATGTTGCACCGTCGCGACAGCCCAGACCCATCTACCCTTGTCCCTGGGCTTCACTTAATGCAGGGCAAATCGTCAGGTATTCGCTTCTCTTTGCTGAGGCAGGGACCACCACGTCCTCGCACCGTCGATGCCATGGCCTCGTCTCGTTCATCGACAGCGCAGGGTTCTCCACCGATCAGCAACCATGGCTCCTCTCACTCTCGTCGGCAGAGGCGACGCTGTTCTTATCAAGCAGCCGCGGTGACCACGTCGCAGGTCGTAGGTCGCAGGTCGACATCGTGGCAGTGGCAGATCGCCGGGAACGAGGCCGTGGGCGGCTGCTGCATCAGCGTCAACGGCCATCGCTACGGCCACGAGTGACGGAGACGACCCATCGACGTTGAGACGCCCTCCGTGCAGAGCGCGTCGTCGACCAAAAGGGTCGATCTCATGCCAAAGCGAGACGCTCCTCGCCTTGTACGAGACGCGAGTGGCGTTGTGCAAGGCGCAAGATGGTAGGCAACAAGCATGTGCTTTTATGTCGTTCTTACCCGCGCAGCGACTGGATGTACTTGCGCACCGCGTCGGCGCCGTGCTGCGCGACGGTGAGCTTGTGCTGCGACGCATCGCTCCACGTGAGGACATCGAGATCCCGCGCGTACTGCACGACGGCCGCAAATTCCTACAAAACGAGGAAAACGATGAAAACGATGAAAAAATGAAAAATGCCAAAAATGCCAACAAATCGAAAGCATGGTTCACAATGCGTACCTCCGAGAGCGTGAAGCCTTCGAGGAGCTCGCCTGGCACAAACTGAATCCGGTTGCGTTCGCGTTGCCAGAGGTACAGTTGGTCGGCAATGTTTTCCGGGATCACGGGCGTGTTCTGCACCATCTTGGGGTGCGCGTGCTGCATCAAAAAGTCATAAATCTACACGACAATATTGTTCATTTGCCAAAAACCACCACAAGAACGCCACCTGCTCAGCCGAGATGCCGTGGATGAGCGCCGACCGAATGCTCTCGCGCGTCAAGAAGCCCACCGCCATGTTCTTCAGCCGAACCTACGCGAGATATCAGGTGATGGATGGACAATAATGGTGTCTTGAGATGGACGTACAACAATGTCCACAAACACACTCAGCATCGCAATGTGTAAGCTCGACGACGTGTACGCATAGACCTTGAAGTTGGTCTCGACAATGATGCTAAGGTGCGACGATGACGCGCCGCTGGCCTCGCTTGGCCCTTTGGGGACGGTCTATGCATCGATATCCATCGTGAGCCTGAGATGCCGACGAAGCGAGCTACCGCGGCCTGATGAAAGCTCTCGAGCGACTGGTTCATTTGAATCGCGGGGCGCGTCTGGCCCGCGAGCCCGCCAAAGATGAGGTTGACGGCCAAGCTCGTCGTGTAAAAGCTACGCCATGAATTGGTCCATGGTTCGATCGTCGACATCGATGACGGTACCGTGTTGCGCGCGAGTTGCTGCGGTACAAAAGGCCGAGCTCGACGAGGTCCCCAAGGAGCTGCTGCTGGTTGCGCGTGAGGTCGGCCACCGCGTAGTACTGGTGCATCTGGCAATAACTACGCACTATGGGAGGCTGCTGCTGCTATCGAGGTCGATCTACCTCATCTGGAAGAGGAACTGGAGCATCTCTTCGGCCGACATGACGCCCCGCTTGTCAATGTTCTTGATGTACTCGAGCACGAAGATCCACGTCTGCGCGTGAATGTCCTTGAGCATAAACTCGTAGCCCGTGTCCGTGATATGGAGCTTCCGGCGGTCTTCGGGCGACGCCTGCATGAGCTTCGTCTGTTCGAGGATCTGCACGACCGTATCGGGCGGCGCCTGCACCGCGGTGGACCCGACCTACGCATGGCATGCGGCAACGATCGCGCCACCGACGACGACGAGATACCATGAAGTGCAACACTGCATCCCAGCGCGTGCGCGCATAGTTCTCGAGGTCCATCGCAGCGATCGGCTTCTCGGCCGGCAGCTTTTGCCGGCCGTCTTCCCACGGCGACCCGCCGAGCGAGCTCAGCGCCGTGCGCAGCTGTGCCTGGAAGTGTGTGTTGAGAGCGAGCCCATGCGGCGCCTTGGCCAAGACGCGCAGATGCGAGAGCTACAGCTCATGAGGCCAATCCATGCTCCATGCTGCGCGGTACCTTGTCGATGGCCGCGACCATGGCGTCCGTGGACGACTCGTGCACCCACGAGAGGATCGTATCGCGGGTCGTCTCGCCGGCGGCGAAGAGGAGGCGCATGACGATCTGCTGCGAGAGCGCGGGCAGGCTCTGGAAGACTGCTTGGCACGCCCATGGGTCGTCGAAGAGCCGGTCAACGCTCGCGACGGGCCGCGTCGCGAGGTACTCGAACGCGTTCATCGGATTTCTGCGGCCGCCAACGGGAGCGTTTTAGGTCATTTCGGGCCGTCAAACACTTTAACGCTCATACGTTAAATAGGGTAATCGTGCGTCTGTGGTCGCGACACGATCGTGGCCACCATGGGTCCCACTGCCGCATGCAAGCCACAACGCGCTCGAAGGCTCGTTGTGTAGCTGTCGAGGGGCGGCAACGCAATCGTATCACGTCCCTTGCTTCGTTCCACGTGCGTCGGTGCGTTTAAACACGGTGGTGCAGGTAATATCATATATAGAAGGTTTTAGCCGACTCTCGTCATCCAAACATAGAGGTAATTGTAAAAGGGAGGCAACATACATATACGTTTTAGAGGGTTTTATTTGAAGCGCCAAGTGTCCACCTCGTCTGCGATAGAATGGTATTCCAGACAGTAAGTTGTTAAGGCTATTATCTTATTAATAATAGATAGATACACCTAGAGCTCAAGTCGGTGGTTCGGCTTGCTCTTTGCGGCGCCGTCGTCGTTGTGAGCCCCGTGGTGCATAGAACCGAGCGCGACAAGGCATGTTTGCGAGGCCTCGTGGGCCCTTTACCGGATCCGGATAAAAGAACGCAGATCGATTGGTTTATAATTCTGAGATTTCCGGAGTTAAGCCAATCGGCGCCTGTGATGGCCTCGCAATCCGTCCCGCTTGGCGCCATTTTCTTTGTTGCCACGGACCATGTGCGAGACGACATGCATGGTTATGTGTAGGTCCCTTCTTGAAGCTTGAACCTCGGTATCCTCGGTCTCCGTCCAGCGCCAATCATTTTTCCCTTGCCTTCAAGATGCAATTCCTCCGATCCAGCGTCACCACCACGGCCAAGCGCCTCGGCTGCCGCAACCTCTCGGCCTTGAGCCCGAGCACGATCAGCATCATCAAGGCAACGAGCCCCGTCGTCGCCGAGCACGGCTACACAATTACGAGCACCATGTACGGCACAATGCTGACGAGCGACCCGGCCATCTCGGCGCTCTTCAACCCGAGCCACCAAAAGGTGCTGCCGGGCGAGACCCGCGCGCGCCAGCCGTCGGCCCTCGCGGCTGCCGTCGGCGCGTACGCTGCCAACATTGACAGTACGTTTATGGACCATGGAGGCATGTCAGGCGTGTATTGATGCCATTCGATCGTAGACCTCGGTGTGCTCACGTCGGCCGTCGAGCGCATGGCGCAGAAGCACGTGTCGCTCTACATTTTGCCCGAGCACTATGGCGTCGTGGGCACGCACCTCTTGGCCGCGATCAAGACCGTCCTCGGCGAGGCGGCGACGCCCGAAATTCTGAAAGCGTGGGGCGAAGGCTACTGGTTCCTGGCCGACATTCTTATCGAGCGCGAGCGCAAGCTCCGCGAAGAGAAGGCCGCGTCCGTCGGTGGCTGGGAAGGCTGGCGCGACTTTGTCGTGGCCAAAAAAGTGCACGAGTCGGATGAAATCACGTCCTTTTACCTTCGCCCGGCGGACGGCGGCTCGGTTGTCGGGTTTGAAGCCGGGCAATACGTCGGCCTTCGCTTCGACACGCCCGAGTTTACGACGCAGCGCAACTACTCGCTCTCCAACGCCCCCAGTACACCACACTTCTTGTCTTTGGATCGAATGACATTATTGTCACTAGACGCGAATGAATACCGCATCACGGTCAAGCGCCAAGCGCCGCTGAGCGAGGGCGGACCTGTCGGTCAAGTCTCGACGTACCTGCACGACTCGCTTCGCGAAGGCAGCGTCGTCAAGGTCGGCGTGCCCTGCGGCGATTTCTTCCTCACGGTCGACCACGACAAGCCCATTGTGCTCTTGAGCGGCGGTGTCGGCGTGACGCCGCTTGCGTCGATGGTCGACGATCTCCTTCTGAACCAGAAGTGCGCGAACCAAATCACGATGCTCAACGCGGCGCGGAGTCCGTCGGTCGAGGCGCTGCACGACACGTTCGTCGCGCGCGCGGCCACGCACGCGAACTTCAAGTTCCACGCGCTGTATGACACGGCTGTGGACGCGGCGGCGCTCGAGCGCATCGTGCCCAACAAGGACGCACACTTTTACTTCTGCGGTCCGCCCGGCTTTATGCACGCGATCCAAACCATCCTCCGCGGCTGGAAGGTGCCCGAGGACCACATGCATTTCGAGTATTTTGGCCCGCACAAGGAGGATGCGTAATCTTCATAATATCGTTCATATGTGGTGTCGACTTGAATTCATTGGTTGTCCCCCTTTCTTTCCCGAAAATGCAGTGCGGGTAGGGTCCAGCTGTTTGGCCACACCTCCGTGAAAGCGTATTATTACAGCGTCGATCAAGGGACTATTGTCTCGTTCCCTTGGCGTCGATGAACCTAGGATGATGAGCCATCCTTGATCTCAGCCACGCGCGTGAACCACAGTCGCAGGAGTGCCGCAGCTGTGACTTCGGCGTAGACCTGACGCAGGACAAGTGGCTCGGCTACGATTGTAGACGCCTTCACGTGTGGCCCCGTGCCGAGCCAAACTCCCAAGCCGCCATGGCTGGTTCAACTACACAAGGTGACCACGCCGTTGACCGAGACGACGCCCGCCGAAGCCTGCTGCCGTCGTGCCCGGCATGCAGCTTCTGACTGGCCATCTGGGCGTCGATGAAGACTTCTATGAGACGCCATCTGCCACAGCCGAGTAGCCGAGCTCTGACGCCATCGACAGGGCTTCCGCCACGAGCAAGATACACCAACGAGAGGGTTCATAGCATTGGTCAACGTCTGTGCTTCGAGTTTCAAGGCTGCTTGGTGGGTGCGGCGGTGGCCGGCAAGTCCATCTTGAGTGCATTGTCGAGGAGCATCTCATTGATCGCTGCACCATCGTCCCGCAGCACAAGTCCCGGTGCTCCTACGGCATGCGTTGATCGTCATTGCCATACAACGGGTGTCATGTACCATCGGCAAGGCCGAGACGCTCTGGCGGGCTCGACGGGGCGCTCGACGGCCGCACGAGCATAAAACTCTCCGTCTCATTCTCCACATACGCTGGAATCCGCGCCCGCAACGTCGCGTCCAGCAGTCGGTTGTTGTCTCGAATGCGCACCGAGACGTACTGCCGGGTCACGCTCGCTACCTGGTGCGTAATCGTGCTAGAAACACCATGAACAAAACGTCGTGGGTTCGAGGCCGCACCTGACGTATTGCTGCAGGAGTTGTTCGACCGAGCCTTGGTCGCGCATCATTTTTTCAATGAGTTTTTGCAGCCCGACCACTTTTTCTTGCTTTCTTCGCTTGCTTCCGAGGATTTGGCTAACATCACGCCATGACGTCGTCGGTCCACTCGTGTGCAGACAAGTTGTGTACCACATGCCATGTCGAGGAGCGCCAATTGTTCCGTGACGGCCTTCATGTCGTGCAGAATCTGCTTGACTTGGGCTTGCGTGAGGCCGGCTACCAAAATATGCTTGAGACAAGGCAGGTGCGACCTTTTAACAGACCTGCTTTGTCGACTTTTTTCGTGCTGGCGTTGGCGACGACGTTGGCCTGGAGCTGCGTGACGTGCGTGACGAGCTTGTCGATCTGCTCTTGGTACGGCGGCAACGTGCCATGCCAATTGCCCCCGACCGACTCGAGCTGTTGGAGCCACTCGACGTGGTTCTCAAACTGCTGGTTCATGCGGGCCTCCAGTGCCATGCGGTGCTTCGCTTCCTGTGACACCTTGTCCTCGAGCCACTGCTTGGTGTTTTGGAGACAAATGTCCGTCTCGCTCGAGACCAAACTACGCGTCCACTTGAGTGCCGCTTCGAGAGGACAATAGTGTACCTCAAAATGTCGTCGTACTGCATCGACGTCATCGACTTGAAGCGACCTGCGCACGCGTTGCACGAAGAGTACGTCGACAGTATATAGTCTACCATCCATGTCTTGGGCAATGTGCTGCTCGGTCGACGCCATGGCAACCGAGATCTGCTTGTTCATGGCCGTCTCGAGCTTGAGTGTCGCTACAGGATCCTCAGCCTCGCCGCTTCTGGTCGCGCAACAGGTACCAGCGTTGAGCTTCGAGTCAAACTCGTCGCGCAGTTCTTGCAAAAGTGGCTTTGGAAGCGCGATACCCCCGGCCTTGCCACTGCCATTTTTGCCCGCTACTTTCGTGCGTGAGATGCGAGGCTCAAGAGAACGGCCACGTACTCGGCACGGTACCCAGCGACTTGCACAGCTGCGCCATTTGTGACTGGAATGCGCTCTGCCGGCCTTCGAGTGTCGAGACACGGTCCATGACAGCCGCCACTTCCTTGGACTCTTTGGCTACGGAGGCCCGCGTGAGATGCATCCTGAATGCTGCGTGGGCGTACGCGAAGCAGACTTGTCCGCGGCCGGCTGACTCTGGAGCGTTTGAATCTGACGCTGCATGTCGAGCACCATCTGCCGCAACTCGGAGACTTCGTCGCTGCAGTTGCACGCGCCCGTCACGCCCTGCGCCTGCGCCTACATTCGTTTGAGCTCGTGCATCGACGTCGTGGCGACGTACGATGGGCTTGAGCTGGCGGCGCATGCTCGACCCAATGGCCTCGACAAGCTCCGAGACCTTGGTGTCAATCATGTCGTTGGCAAAGAGGTCGGCGCGCTCCTACTCGCATCGTCATAGGATTGCATTCTCGTCGATTGCGTACAAAGCCCAATGGCGGGCGCGTCGAGCCGATGACGCCATGCATGAGCGACGGGCCTACGCACAGTAGCATCGCAATCGCGTCTCGCCATGACTCGCCTACCGCCCGAGGTCGACGAAGGCGGCGGTGGCGGCGGCTGGTGGCCAAGATCCAAGAGGCCAACGTCGTAGAGGCCGGTGGCTGCTTGGTGGAACGGGCCAGCGTAGTCGTTCATGGCGAGGTTGGAGGCGGAGAAGGTGTGGTGCGACGGCGAGCTGCTCCACGTTCCGCGCGTGTTCTGCATGTTGAGAGGTTTCTTGCCGCCCATGGTCGTCGACTTGGACACTGCGGTCGCGCTGGTGGTGGTGGCCGGATTGAGCTTATACCAACCGAATGTTTCAGCGCCAACCGGTTAACCTGGGTCATTCATCCGGACGCGTGGTCGACCATACAAACCCCAAGTGATTTTGACACGACCAATGCGTCGTCCCCACGTCGATTGCGCACGGTAAGTTGGCGCTGGAGAGACCAGGATGACCTGGTGCATGAGCGCGTGCCGTCACTGATTGGCTCGCTTGTCTTGCACCGTCAGAAGAAAACCGCGCTCAGGGAGAGGTACAAGCGCAAGCGGTGCAAGTGAGAGCGTCTCGTCGTGCTTGTGCAGCGCTATCTCTTGTCTGCCGGTCGTCATGGCAGCGCCGTCGCACCAAGCAGCGTGCGTGGAAGAGATTGGTCGCGATGGCCATCACGACCAAGACCATTGTATGCAGCAGTGACGCACAGGACATGATGCGCTCGCCCGTCACCGGGGACACCCATGGCTTCGAGCGAAGGGGCGTGCATGGGTGCAAGACGAGCCGCTGTGTTGGAATGCGACGACTCCTCTCGTGTTTTTATAGCAGCTTTGTCCATAGACCATTGCTTCGGGTAGATAGCATGTACATAATGTCCTTGGCTGACCCATCACCGTCGCGTTGTTGAAGTGGGTGCAAAGTGTCGTCGTATAAGATCGCTCCCACCTTCAAGTGGTCGTGCTTCAACAAGATCATATCCGATGCGCCATCATCCGCCGGTGAACGGTTCCATGCTTCAGAGTCTGCGCGAGTTCCTTTGACCAGGGCCCAGCGCCGTCGAGCTGCTGAGCTGCTGTGGGGGTAGTCGTGAGGTCGATAGCCCTTGCTTGGTGGTGATGCGTGTCGGTTTGGCCATGCTCTTTGAGATTTGTCGTGGCGCTTCGTATCCGGACGATCGCACAGTGCGATCTTCCAGCATGTGGCGTACAAGCATCTTCACCGCGCTCGTTGGTGGCGCGCTCGCGGCGGTGCTCACACGCGAAGAATGCACATCGCTGGGGCTCGATGCGGCGGCCATTGACTGCGACAGCTGCCGCGACGATGCCGCGACGCGCGGCGACTGCCTCGAGTGCTGCACGCCACGAACAACCTATGCGTCGGCGCAGCTCTGCGTTTGCTCCTGATCGCTGCGCCGGTACCCCGAGGTCGTCCAGCTCGTACAGAACCATGGCCAATGGTCGCTGCCTGGCTTCTCGGTGCAGGTACTCTAAGCTCCCACCTGCGTCTTCGAATCGCGATCGCTGATGACGTGTAGTACGAACACGGCCAAAAGCCTCAAGTGCTCTTCTACGACAGCGCGGGTGCCATGCAAACCAAAGTCGAGTACGTCGTCCATGACCTTGCTCAAGACACATCCAAGCGCTGCGTAGGGTCGAATCCTGGAAGGAGAGCTCTATCCGCGATTACGTGGCACTCCTTCTCGCGCCGAATCGCGCCGATCGCGACGAGCTCTAGACCCTGTAGCCGCCACTGTAATGACGGTGCTTTTATCAACCCGCAAGAAGCGGGCTACTAGCACTCGAGACCACGCGTCTACAACATGGAGCTTTCTCATGCGCATCTTTCTCTTCCTTGGCCGCATTGGGCCATCGAAAAGGCCTGTACAATTAGGTATCATATGAGGCTAGGTACGCTTGGGCGTGCATGGTGGCTGGGGCGTGCGCAGCGTAAACTTGGAGAGGTCGACCTCCTTGGTCAGCGGCTTGGTCGGGGTCTGTCGCAAGACGCCCTCCTGCTCGCGTTCATAAGCTGGGTTGTTGAGATACGAGTACTACGCAAGTCGTACCGGCGTCAAGGAGCGCGAGAGGCGCCGCACGATTGAGACGTGCGAAGCACTCGCACTCAGCTCTGGCACGTCGTCAACCTCGGGCCCGGGCGCTGGCACCTAGTATGTCCTTGTAGTACATTGTCGTCATGTAGTGACGAAGGGATCGCACCGCTTCGTCGCCGACTTGGAGCTCTTCGTCGCACACGACGCGCGTGATGCCCGACGAGAGCGCGGGCACCGGGATGAGCTTGTGGAACGCCTGTCCCTTTATGTGAGCCGACGACATGGCAGAAGCAAGACCTGCAGCAAATCGAACTCTTCGCGGCTCAAGACGACGTCGTGCTGGCGATTGTTGCCATGGCCCGCGACGCTCTCGTCGTCGTCGTCGCTCTCGGTCACGCGGGTGGCCGCCAACCGACTCATGGTTTCGCAACTTGGTCGTTACGCAAGCTACTACTACATCGGGAACCGTGGTGGTTTGAGAATAGCAAGGTCGCCGAGCGACCGAGGTACAGAGCAGGGATGCTCGATGCTCTCTCTCGAATGCAAGTCAATGGCTTGTTTTCATGTATAGCAGCAAAGGGAATGGCTCATGCCCACGCGTGTACAAGCCCACGAAAGACTGCTGGTGCACCGGTAGTGCGCCCACCCACCGTGTTCTGCTGCCAACACGCTCTACCTTCCGCTGGAAATCGCGATGCTTTGACGGAAAGGTGGTTAATATATACTATAGTACTAAATCATCGATTCTATACCCTGGATAGAAGGCTGTGTGCGCGAGCCGTTCGAATGCGCGCGGCGGTGTCGCCAGCGTTCTTGCCATCGAGACGACTCCCAAGACGGCGTCCTGTGGATCCTTTGGCTGCATGACGACGCGCGCGAAGAGACCCAACCTTCCATGTCGATGGTGGCGGCGTCGAATTCGGTTCCAGATCGTCGTATGGCTCGCGGGACGACGCCGCCGTCGGCTACTTCGAAAGCGACGGGTCATGAGCTTGTTTGTATATCCAGCTGTTGCCGTCGCGTCTCGTCCGGGCTTCTAGAAGACACGGAGCTTCTAGAATGCACTCGGCATGAGTAGCAGACGCCACCTCGTAGGGCCACCCAAGGACGACGCGTTCAAGGAATGTCGACTTCGAGTGGCTTCACGTCGAGAAAACAGCAGCGCTGGCCTGTTAAAAGACGGGCAGCTATCATCGTACCCTCACGCAAACCTGGTCCTGTAAACTGGAAGCGAGTGATTCCTGATCTTGGGGCCTGCAAGCGACCTACAGAACCGGCCAATGGAACAATGGTTTCTTCGAGTGGTTGTGTACCAAAGCCATCATTTTTCTAGAAGAGATCCTATCAACTCGCTTGGCTTAAGTGCCTTACATGACCCGCGCGAGATATATATTTTTGGGATCTCCGCTGCGATGCATTTAAATCCAAGCAACCAGTAGCAAGCGACAGGTAACAACTCAAAATTTCCAATTCGCAGCTCGGCGTATAGCGAGACACGGGGATGGTGGAGGGAGCAGTTGCGACCATTCGAACGCTTCGGATTTGATCCATGCGTCATCGATCTGCGCACCTGCGGCCGATGTCGCCGATGATCGTCCATTTTTGACGCCAGTTTAATCCTAAAAATGTGACAAAAGATTCTTTCGAAGATTCAGTGCGGCGAGTAGCCAAAAAGGGGTCCGGACGCGACAGCCCTGCCATAAACGGATCGCGTTTCCGCCAATCATCGACGCGCTTGCGACGGGACGCCCGCGCACGCGTGGCCGCGATGGATCGGTCGCTCGTGTGGCGTGTGCCGCCTTTGGCGTGGTGCGAGTGACGCCACGCGCTGGCTCGTGGTGCCGTCCGTCGCACCACGTCGAGGGTACAATCGTAACAAGGCAGAGAGCCCTCTTTGCACCCCGCCTACAGTGGCCATTCTACGCTAGTATTCGACCTACACAAAAGACAGCGTTTGCTAAAACACGATCGTGGATTACTTCAACCTCCCATGCGCATTGCACGCGGCTCGCGCTTGTTTGCGCAACGCCGATACACCTGCTAAAATGAATATATTCTGCTTTCGTATTCTTGAATTTGACTTTTGGCGGTATATTGAGCTGCGGAAACAAATCACCTGTCGCAATGCATGTTGCTCTCTGGGTGCTTGCGGCGTCGATGTGCTGTGGGGCAAGAAACCGGGCTGGGCCACGAGGTACACCTCTCGAATGTGACGATCCCGAGGCCGCACCGTGGGATACGACCACGGTATGGGCGCCGCGCGCATGTTTGTGCACCACAGCAGTGAAGCCAACTCAAGCTCTGTCAAGGTTTGTTGGGTGGTTCGCGTACTGTTTTCAAATCAATCAGAGCGCCGTGCCACTCTGCCTTGCCAATACCAAATGCGGCGCCTGAGAACGCTTGAAGTTTCTATTGCGCGACTGGCGCGTCGGATGCTCCCAGCTTGGTGCAATCCTCCCAGGCCACCAAGGTACAGTTTTTTGTTTTTTTTCGGCCATGGCGGGCTCTCAGGATGGGACGAGCCGGCCGTCGCAGTGTTGCTTATGTGCTTCTGTCAAGTGGCAAGGGGCTGCGATCGCCCGTGCGCCAGCCGTGCCCACGTGGCGACCGCGGTGTGCACCCTTTTTTGACACGTGGACCCTTGCATTTTCTTCGCACCGTCACGGACTGTAACGGTCAGATCCTTGCCGGCGGCCACCAATCAAATGCAACAGCGTCTCGCACATCCCATCGAATCTTCGATCGAACGAAGATGCGACATACAAAGCCCTTTTCAGCACACAACTGGTCGGCCACGATCGACAACACCGCGTCAGCCCAAGCGACGACCAATCGCATCCACACCATCTCGTCGGCGCCCCTAGGACGTACACGCTGCCATGGTCGAATCTCTCGCATCTCCGCCCGCGACCCACAACATTCCAGTTCACATGGGTGCTACCAAAAGCTGCTCTACAAGTGCAATCTGGGCGTCTCCAGTCGAGCGTGCTGGACCATGCATGCATCGGACAGGACAAGTGACGTGCATGGACCGTGCCTTTGGCTCGGGTGTGTGTCGCCAGCAACCAACTGGTCCGTCGCACGTGTACAAAAAAAGCCCGACCAAATAAAAACACGCGCCAGGCGTACACCCTTTTTTGTCGAGCCCAGGTGCTCCGTCACGTGCGGGTGCCAGTTTTGAATTTGCTCTCGACCGAGCCAACCTCGTCCTACACCATGTGGCATCTTCCCAGCCTGCCCGAGCCCATGCTGGCCGCGCCACGCACGCTCCTCGACGCCGACTCGTTCGACGAGGAGTTCAAGACGCTCTTCAAGCAGACGTTGCAAAAGCCGACCTCGAGCTACGTCGATGTCTTTGCCTACGACGACGACATCACCACGACCGGGCCTGCGTCGCCGGTCGCTGCCGACGACATTGATTGCTTCTTCTTCAGCACGTACTCGCAGCCGATCGAGATCGACTACCGCCGTCGGCGAACGTGCTCCATGGAGAGCTACGAAGACCGCGACTTGCGCCTGCGCCGCCGCGTCGCATACGAAGACGACGACGACGAAGATACGCTCTTGCCGTCGTCCAAGGCGACCCGCGCGCTGGACGACGACGCCGACGACATCTTCTTGCTCGAGCTCTAAGCCCATCGCTGTAGTCGTTAGTAGTAGTTTAGTCGTCGAGCCACCGATCGATAGCGCATCATCACGTCCCCTTCGCCGTACCTAATCCATCTCTTATTTATCCTCCTCTTCCACTCGACTACCATCCATTCGATGTAGCGCGTCCATGGCGTCGGCGGTCCGCAGCCACTCGTCGGTTCACGCGCGTCCATGGCGATCCCACGGAGCACAAGGTCGTCGTGTCCATGCCCCGGTGTCGCTGCGCCGCCACGCTCGGTGTCTTTCATTGGCTAAAATACATGCGAGCGACGATTGGGATTGGTCTAATTTATCGAATGTTGCCACACAAGCGCAAATCGTAGCGCGCGTCCAACGGTTCGATATTTCGGCATCTGGTCAGCGCACCTGCGATGCACCTCTGCGTTTCTTAGTCCAAGGCGGTGCACCAAGTACTGTGGCGAAGCTTGTTGTTTGTATGCTCCGTTGCCTGCAAACTACGTGCGTCTTTGCGACGCGACAGGCTGCCTGTCCATCGCATGCACGCACAACGATGTACTAGCATGGCTTCCTCCATGCGCGAGCTGAGCAGCGCTCGTCTGCGCGAGCTTTTCTTGAAGCCCGCGTGAAGGACCACTGACGGCGCAGCTGAAACTCCCACGGATTCAACTTTGTCACTTGCTGAGATCGATCGGTGTCTCGGCGCGGGACGAGGCAGCCTTCTTCGTCACAAGGCACTGACTCGCCAATCAGTCGCAACCAGTAGTGGCTGAGCGTGGGGTTGCAGTAGCTCCCGAGTGCTACGTTTTCAATGTTCTTGAAGTGCTGGAGTGCACGAAGAAGGTCGCAACTGCGTTGGTCCGAGCTAGCAAACAGCCTCGCAGCCAAGACCTTCAATGAACATCGAATGACCTTCGCGTTTCTGAAGCACGGTTGCTGAGCTCGCTGCCCAGATTATAGAGAGACCTTTGTAAAGTGATGATTGGTTTCAGAAGAAGATCGGATACGTTTCGACCTTTCATCAGAGCAAACACATGAAATGGAAGGGTATCCAAGAAGCTGGAATCGAGAGGATCATCGTGCGATGGGATCTTTGCCTCTGGAGGAAACTGAGGACTGCCTTGCAGTTGCGTGGAGGGAGAAGACACTATGTCGGGGCGTCCTCGGCGTGTGCATCAGTGAGCATAAATCCCATCTGCAGAAAAGTTATTGAGCCGGTAGCAAGTGCAATGACACCGGACGCCCTCTTCTGTCAGCCGCGTTTTGATATATCGCCCGACGCTCATATTCATACTAGTAGGCCGACGCTCTTGTTGCAGGACCCGACAGCGACAACAAATTCCCTGCATCAAGATCGATGCAACTTCAACTTATCCGGATATTCAATGTTTTACTGACTCGTTTCGTATCCGGATGGACGAAACTCCCTCTTTGCCATCCTTTAGACAGTGTAAAACATGAATGACCCCTTGCACTCAATTCTGGGGGGCTATGCCCGTTGTAGCAAGGGAAATTCCCGACCTGTCTCTGCCAGAGAAGCGCCGCCATCGCCATCATGTCGGCGTAGGTGCTGCCAGCGCATGGACCATCATGACTCATGCTTCCGTAGGGTCCATGACACGGGCGGCCTCGTGGGCATCAAGGTCCTCGTGCCCCACGCTGGCGACGTCGTCGCCTTCGACGCCGAGACGCAGCGCTACGAGGTGCGTCGCCGCTCGCCGCCACCTCGCGCTCACCTCCCGGCATAGGTCCGCTTCGTCACAGGCCTCGTCATGAAGCTTCCGCGCGACGAAGTGCTCAATCTCAATCAAATGTCTGTGGCCATGCAGCAGCCGCTGGTCGTGCAGCATCCGCTGGTCGGGACGTGTGTCGTCAAGCGCTTCAACACGACTTTAGTTCGTGGCACCGTGCAGCAGCACGATCCGCACTGGAATGTGTTTGAAGTCCTCTACGACAATGGCCTGCGCGACCACGTCGCGGAAGAGTACATCCGCGCGCACCCGTATGTGCCCGTCGTCGTCAAGGTCGAACCGCCCGACGATTGCATCGATCTCACTCTCTCCGACGACGAGACGCCAATCAAAACCGAGCAGCCGCCTCGGTTGCCTCCATCGCTGGCGCCTCTCGACGTGTTGCCGGTCGCGTACAAGCCTCCGTCGGCGACTCCAGTGGCCAGTGTTGCGCCCACTCCTGCGCCTCCTGTGGCCAATGTCGCATCCTTCGTGCCAGCGATCAAAGTCGCATCGCCAGAGCACCGCGTTGTCGAGTGGAGCGGGTCTGAGAGCGATGTGTCGCCACCGCCAAAGCAGTTTACGCGGCTGACCAAAGCCAAGCCACGCCAACTAAGAAAGGCTGGACGACGACGGCGCTTCTCCGAGTCGTCCGACGCGTCGTCGCCTGCAGATGAAAGCACGAGCGACCAAGACGCGTCCTCCTCCTCGTCGGACGAGGAGGAGGAGGAAGATCCCAGGGCCATCAAGGACGAACTGGCTGCCACATTGTTGAAGCCCGTCGAGAAGAACCGACGAGCGCACTGCCATGTCCGTCATAAGAAAGCAAATACGGAAGCCATTGACACCGCTCGACGACGGAAACAAGCCAAGCGCACCGAATGCACACCGCCGCCGTCACCCGTGTCGGAGCCCAAGCGCCAGAAGAAGACGGCGGCGGCGAGCGTGCCAGAGCTTGCACGGCCGCGCAGTAACGTGCGTCAGCTCAAGCCGCGACCGCCCGATGCATCGCCAACGGCGAGCAAGCCATCGAGAAAGGACGTGACGCTGCCACTCGTGACGCCCCAGGACATGGACACTGAGTTTACGATCCCAAGGAAGCAAGCGAGCAGCCAGCCGCCAACGACCCACGACGCAAATTCGCGTTCAAAAGCAAAGTACACCGCCGGCATCTTCCACACACCAAGTTGTAAGCCCCACCAACGGCCTGCGGATCGAGCCCATGGGCCACGTGGTAGTATTGCATCGACACACAACACAACGCGCGCATTCGAACCTCACAAAACGCCCATGCGCCAGAAGAAGAAGAAGCTGCCACCAGCGCTGCCTGCCGGCTGGGATACGGCGTCCAACGCCTCGAACCGTAGCACGGCGTCGCATATTACATCCAATTACAGTGGGCAGCCGTTGGCGAGCCCACGGCCCGTCATGTCGAAGCCCGTGCCTAATTTCACCGCCCAAGGCCGCGTTGCTACCAAGGGGCTCATGCCCGATTACGAGCTCAAGAAAGTTGCCCTGGCAGCGGAGCGCCAAAAGAGCAGTGCGCAATTGGCGCCTGCGAGCAGCGAAGGCCGCTTCGTCGCTCTCGGCCGCAAGCACCAACCCAAGTTTGTACCGCGCCGACCCAGCAAGGACGACGTCACGGCCGCGCCGTTCGAGGTCCCAACGGCATCCCCCGAGGCGGAGCCGCCGCGCTACTTGGCGCGCGAACCACGGCCGATTGACGAGTTTCGCGTCTCGGTCTAAAGCTGCCGCATCGTAAGATTAAGAAAGGCCTACTAGTATAAGCGTATGTCGTATATTTGGTCTAGTCCATTATTGGCTCAGTGAAAGAGAGATACTACGTCTGACGATTATCAACGTCAAGCAACAACAAAGTACTGGTTGTAAGCTCAGTGCAGGAAGGTTTGTCGCAGACGTGCCCGGAGGTATCAGACAGCGTCGTCGTGCGTGGGGACAAGCGTCAACGATCGCCTCGGTCCGCTCGGTTCAACGCTCCTTGTTCGGCGCCAGGGCGGTCACGTTCGTGAGGTCGTGAGGCGCTTCTTGAACGACGGAACAGTGAAAGCTCATTCGAAATCGACTTACTTCAACCACAATTTGTACATGATTAGTTCCACAACACCGAGCTCTAGTGACGAGAGCTCGGTGTTCGGTGTTGTGTATGTATGTGATGGACTAGAGTCTAGTCCATAACATACATACACAGTGTGTCTATCCATCCAGGCCGATCTCGACAGTACTCAGACGGAGACATAGAGAGCTCCGTGTCCGTCCATAGATGGGTTCAGACGGTCCCGAAAATGAATCCAGTGTGTACAGATTGTCTGCTTGATGTCATTTCAGTGCTGGGCCAGCGTGATCATGATGCACTAGACGAACGAGTGCTGCGTGGTCAACTGTACTCAGGTAAGCGAATTCAACCTCCTTTTACCGGCTCCGGAAATACGCCTGGGGCTGTGATTGGCTCCCGCGGAGGTACGAGACACTCGTGACCCAGAAGCATGGTGACCGAGGCCGACGCCGCTCCTCGCCCTCGGACGCTGCTCCTGAGCGACCCCGCCTGCGTCAAGCACCACGTGCGAGGCCACCCCGAGCGGCCAGAGCGGTACGTTTCTCAAGCACGCGTCGGCTTGTCTCTGACGACATCCAAACTAGCGTCCAAGTCGTCCTCGACCAGCTCGCCACGTCCTTCCCGACACTGCCGCACTGGACGGCGTCGCCGGCAGCCACGGTCGAGCAGCTCGAGCGCTTCCACACGAGCAGTCATGTGCAGTCGGTGCTGCAGTGGTGCGGCAAGATCGAGCGCTGCATGGTCGAGCTCGACACGCTCCGCGAGTCGGATGAGACCCAAGGTACAGACAGTACTTCGAATGAATGCGATCGTCCAAGCTGTACCAGAACGCCGCAATGTGCTCAAGTCGTTTGAAAACGTCGACGTCGACGCGGACACGACGCTCATGCGGTACACGCGCGAGGCGGCGCTCAAAGCCGCCGGGGCCACGATTGCCGGCGTTGACGCGGTGCTCTCGGGCGACTTTACCAACGCGTTTTGCGCGGTCCAGAGACTCGCCTCTTACGATTTTCACTTACCTCAAAGCGTAGGTCCGTCCCCCGGGACACCACGCCGAGCCGTTCAAGGCCATGGGGTTTTGCTACTTTAACAATGTCGGCGTGGCGGCCATGCACGCAGTCGCGCAGCACGGCCTCACACGCGTTGCGATCGTCGATTTCGACGTGCATCACGGCAACGGCACGCAGGTAGCCCCAGCATCCGCATCCTTCGTACATCGACGGCGCGGCGGTGTAGACCAAAGCGGCGACGACGCCCGAGCTCTTGTACGTCTCGACGCACCAAGCGCCGTTCTTCCCGCACACGGGCCACGCCGCGGAAAATTCGGCGCACGTGTGGAACGTTCCGATGGCCGCGGGCACCAGTTCGTATGCGTTCCGGCACGCGTTCGTCGACCAAGTACGCGAGACCCTGTATATGGTAGCGTGTGACCTGGAAGAGTTGTGTAGGTCGAGCCCCAAGTGCGCGCGTTCGCACCGCAGCTGATACTCATTAGCGCGGGCTTTGATGCCCACGAAGTACGAATCAACTATCAGTCTATCAAAGTGACGTGGCGCGCAGGACGATCCGCTCGCCGAAATGAAGCTGACGGACGAGGATTTCTACTGGATGACGCAGCGCCTGACCATCTTGGCGTGGGAATGCTGCGACGGCCGCATCGTCTCGAGCCTCGAAGGGGGTACGATTTGTCGTCTCCGAGACAAAAAGGGAGATTTTGTGCCACTATAGGGTACCATTTGCGCGCCCTCGCGCGCTGCGCCGAGCGGCACGTGCAAGCGCTCATCGACGGCACCGACCGCGCCGTGCTCGTCGACGCCATGCAAGGTCTCTCGCTCGACCCGCCGGTGGGTGCTTGATTTTCTTCATATACAAATATTGCTCTATTGCGATATTGCACTAGGTGCGGACCAACTTGCGCCTCGTGCTGGCCAAGGACAAGACGCTCAAGACGCTGCTGTTGCACGAGATCACGATCGAGAAGCTCCGCGCAGCAGCCAAAGCCAAGTGCCAGATGAAGTCCAAGCAGCAGTTTCGCACGGCGCACGGCACGTTGGTTGCTGACACGGCGGCGCTCCTCGCCCTCGAGAACGACTCGACCTTGTACATTGCATAGTAAAACACCATAGAGATTGATTTGCAAGTCCATCCGATTGTCGCCATCGAGTTTTCTCCATGTCGAACTGCATGGACAACGATGCGACGCTTGATGATGCAAATGCTTTGTCATTTCCCTTGGCGTACCATTAGTGTACCGGTACAGTAAGCATGCGAACCATCAAGCGTCTCGGACTGAGTTTAAACTCTTGGAATCATGCATTCATCAAGGTCAGTGGGATCGTTCTGGTCTTTCCAAGGTGATTGGACGGTTGCATGAGGTATCTTTGCCCGCGAGTGATTAGTGTACTGACCATCAAGTTGGAACACAGAGCAGATCTGGGATCTGACCATCAAGTTGGAACACAGAGCAGATCTGGGATCCGGTATTATCGGTTAACATCATCCAAGCACGGCGACAGAGCATCGTGCTGCCAGCCTCGTGCAGAAAGAAGACGATTGTCCTCGTTCAATGTGGACGAAGTACGTCCACGCCGTGCCGCTCTTGTTTCGAATTCAGTTCTTGTTTCGAATTCTGTGGTGGTGAGTAGGGTGGTATAACAATATGCAGACGATCCAGGACCGCTCACCGCATGGGTTCGGACGTGACCGATCGCGCTCGGGCGTAATCCGTGGTATTGACGCCTCATCTTAAGGTACACGTGGTCGCATTTCCCTTTTTCAACTGCCGAGACGCATGGCCTCTCCACTGCACTTGGACCCGGCGGTCGTCGAAGCCGCGGCCATCGCGTCCGTCAAGCTAGGGCTCGCGCACCACAAGACCTTTGCGAATGAGCCCGCGGACGCGCGGGGGGACCTCACGCTGTCGGCTGCGTCGCCGCTCGTGCAAGCGTCGCTGGCGTTCGACGAGCGTAGCGCGCCCGCGCGCGGCACGGACATAACATCGCTCCTCTCGTTTCTGCAGACCAATCTGGTCGGCGTCGCGAGCGGCTTCAACGCCAACACGGACACGTTCCTCGCGTACGTTCTCGGCGGCGTCTTGCCGCAAGCCAACGTGCTCGACTTTTACATCAACGCGGTGGACCCGACGACGATTTCGTGGTCCAAAGCGCCGCTCATCCAGCGCCTCGAGATGAACGTCGTCCACTGGTTCTGCGACCTCGTCGGCTACGCCCGCGACTCGTCGCTCGGCATCTTTACGCAGGGCGCGAGCGGCGCCAACTTTGACGCCGCGGTGATCGCCCGCGTCAAAAAGTTTCCGCGCAACCGCGACATTGCACGTGGCACGGTGTACGTCTCGTCCGGTGCGCATTTCTGCAATGCGCGGGGCGCGCGCATGGCCGGCATCTTACCCGAGCACGTCCGGCAGCTACCGGTCGACGCGACCGGGCGGCTACGCCTTGATGCACTGGCCGCGGCGCTCGCGGCCGATGTCGCCAACGGCCTCGTGCCGTTTTTGATGGTCGCGAGCCTCGGCACGACGTCGCTTGGGGCGGTCGACGATCTAAACGGGATGGCCGACCTCGCGGACTCGTACGGCTGCCACTTGCACTGCGACGGCGCGCTCGGTGGTTTTTTCTGCTCACGGAGCGTGGGCGAGATCGCATGGATGGCGTGCAGCGCGCGCATTCGGTGTCGCTCGACTTTCACAAGGGCATGGCGCTACCCTACGCGACCTCGATGCTGCTCGTCAAGGACAAAAACGACTTGATCAACGGCTTTAGCGCCAACGACGACATGGAGTACCTCAAGAAGACGGAGGTCAATTCGCGCTTTGGCATTGGCACCCAAGACGAGTTTGATTTGGATTTGATCACGTTTGCCGACTGCAGCCCCGACCTCTCGCGCGCGTGCAAGGGCCTCAAAGTGTGGTGGCTCCTCAAACTGCACGGCCTCGACGCGTGGAAAGCCCACTTTGACCATCTGCTCAACGTGGCCGACGCCGCTCGCCGAGCCATCGCCACGATACGCGGCCTCGAACTCGCGCCCGGCGATCTCAACGTGGTGAATTTCCGCGCCAACGTGCCTGGCGACGCGGACACGGTGAACGCAGCGACCGACGCGCTCCTCGCCGCCGTCAACGCTCGCCGCGCCGTCTTCTTGTCCATGGCCACGTACACCACAACGGACGGCGTCAAGTACGCGACCGCGCGCGCGTGCTTTATGAACCACAACGTGACGCTGGCGACCGTGCAAACGCTTGTGGACGAGCTCCGTGCGGTCTTGCTGCCGTAATCGATTTCTTAGTCTAGCCCAACGGCGCTGGTCCGTCCTGGAAGGGTTAAAACACTGGTACCGGTAACGTTATTGCGGCGACGTCTTGCACCCATCATCTTGTGTGCCGGTACCTGTTTACTGTTGCCCTGTTGCACTGATAAACAGGGTATCAAAAATGAATTAAATCAGATTCAGAGACCGTTGGACAGCACGCACCCCGCGGCGAGCTCGGCATCCTACCAACACGATGACCACGCGCACCCAGGGCAAACCATTTTGACTTTGGACCATGCGCAGTGGTTAGTAGTGGACACCAGCAGCAGCAGTGTCGTCCTTCAGCAACGGCATTCGGGCAAGGGATGTCGCGTGCAGGATGCGTAGTACCTACTGCTGTAGGGGTGCTTGACTGTTGACATTAGCTCCACAACAACGAATCATGTCCACTACTACTGTCTGTCTGTCCATGCGCATCCTTTCGACCTCGTACGTGTCAGACGGTCATTGTGAAATGGATAACAAACTTTTTGGAGTTGAAACGATGCCGTCATCGTTCGTTTGTGGTGTCTCGGGCTATTCCATGGGGTTATTCTCTGGACAAAGCAAAAGAAACGCGTTGGCTTCTGTTAATTACATCGCGGCCTCGGCTGCCCGATGCTCGAGATACTTTGATGTGGCTCGTTGGACGGCCCTGAGAGCATCGCGTAGTCGCTGTAGACCGCGATTTAGTGATGTCCAGACTTGAATGCGCATGAGCGATAACCAGGCAATTGATTCTCCCACACCGATCGGGCGAGGTGGTTCCGATAACACTCTTAAAATACTGTACTACTCGCGAGGACTCTGCGTCCTCTCTAACTTTGCTAATTCAACAGAAACTGCACACTGAGCCGATTGGGCGTCGCAGTGTCTTTGAGGATAAACTTGAGGCTCAGCGCGCTCGTCCGCCGTGCCTTCTGGGCCTTTCGACGCAGGTACTTGTCCCGCTGGCGGTCCTGCTCCTTCTCGCGGTTCTCGGCGTAGCGCTCGCGGACCTTGGCCAAAATCTGCTCGCGCTTGCTTGCATAGTACTTTTGGTAGCGTTGGCGGTGGGCTTCGATCTGCGTCGGCGTCATGAGGCGAGACATCTCGTGTTAGTTTCGTGGCAAAAACAAAGTGACCGCGGTGACCTCCCGACACGCGAAAATCTGAAATTTTTGGCCGGGCGCCGCAGCGTGGCGCGACTCACGCTGGATCAGGCGCGCTGTCCACGACTACCAGGCGCTCCCACTGTAGCTCCGAGCACATACCAATGGTATTTCTCTTTTGCGTTGAAGGCGAGCACCGAGATGGAGCGTAGCACCCTGGGACAACGATCAACACGGTGAAATTTTGAAACGGCATCCTAAGGGCATGCGATCACACGATCGTATCCAACAACACGGCAACCTGCTTGATAACGATATCCCGTAGATGGGAATATTCGTGACCACGCATGGCAAAGCAACGCACCAGTGTACTCTATAGCAACACCACGACTCTGCTCTCGAGGCTATGCGGCTGCGTCTGTCATGTAGGCTCATGCTCTCTCAATTCTGTGCCAAATGGGAGCAAAGTATTAGAGAATGTACATACGTGTTTACGGTTAACAAAGATGCGAGGACGATCGGCGACGCTTCTTACCAGCCGCCGCCCGTGTTGCCACCGGCGTTACCTCCGGTGTTACCGCCCCAGCCACCGCCACCCGAGTTGCCGCCCCAGCCACCGCCGCCACCACCGCCGTTGAAGAGGCCGTAGCCGTTGAGGCAGTTTTGAATGAGGCTGCTGATCGTGCCGCCAATGTCGCCGCCGCCGCCCCATGTCGCGCGCAAGTTCTGCGACGCACTGGCAGTGTCGATGCATTGGAGAAGGGCGGCGGCGCACACGGTCGTCTTGAGGATCGTCTTCATGGTTGTGTATTGATGGAGCGAGTGTCGAGAAGGCAAAACCAATTGAATAATGAGACGAAGAGACCGATGTGCTTTTCGTCCTGACCGTCGAATGCAGCGTCCGGTGGACTGGACGTTTCATCATGAAACGGCTGTTGTTGTTCGACATGTGGTCAAGACGCATTCGAGTAATCTGGATCCATCATTCAGTCAGAATCGACGTTCGTATTGAGTCGATGCTACAGTAATGCGTTTGCGGCGCTAGTTGATCTAGAGTCCCGCACTCGGTGCCCAACGTGCATCGAAATTTGGAAGCAGCGTTAGATTGCCTGCCCGCCTTGTGCATACGTAAACCTGAAGCTTGACCAGACACCGCCTAATGAAACACATGTCTAACTCTAAAGCTGCTGACTTTGGCGCCATCACCGCTCGTGCAAATATACCGTCTTGGACTCTCGTTCGAGCAACTGTGCACGAATTGGTATGTGATACCGAACTGCTAAGTTCCAACCGCTAGTTCTGTGCCCAGAATATCCTTCCCTGCGATACATTCGGCCCTACTGCACAGTAAGTACGAGCGCTTTGAAGTGTTATCAAATGGCTCGTTTTCCGTTCTTCGCGTCATGTAGCCAAGATAGGCACAATTGGCATGGTCGATGAAAGCGAACTAGAGTTATATATCAAACACATGCGTGGATGTAGTAGCCATTAATAGTACGAACTTACAGAGTCAGTTTCTCCTAAAGTACACGCCTCTCAACGAGGGAATTCTTCAGGGGCCCTTGCCTTTCACCCAGATCACTTGGTTCACACACAACTCCCATGCGTCTTGACCACATGTCGAACAACAACAGCCGTTTCATGATGAAACGTCCAGTCCACCGGACGCTGCATTCGACGGTCAGGACGAAAAGCACATCGGTCTCTTCGTCTCATTATTCAATTGGTTTTGCCTTCTCGACACTCGCTCCATCAATACACAACCATGAAGACGATCCTCAAGACGACCGTGTGCGCCGCCGCCCTTCTCCAATGCATCGACACTGCCAGTGCGTCGCAGAACTTGCGCGCAACGTGGGGCGGTGGCGGCGACATTGGCGGCACGATCAGCAGCCTCATTCAAAACTGCCTCAACGGCTACGGCCTCTTCAACGGCGGTGGTGGCGGCGGTGGCTGGGGCGGCAACTCGGGTGGCGGTGGCTGGGGCGGTAACACCGGAGGTAACGCCGGTGGCAACACGGGCGGCGGCTGGTAAGAAGCGTCGCCGATCGTCCTCGCATCTTTGTTATTAACCGTAAACACGATATCTGTATTCGATCCTTTGCACACATCCTGTTTGCCAGCGTCGTACACTTCTTTCAGACAAGGACGAGGTAGCAAGAACGAATACAAGAGTGCTACTACTACATTTGTATCCCGCAGTGTCAGCTAGCGATTCCGTCACATGCGGGCGAGGGGGTTGGGCTTGGCGGCCGTCGCGTGGTACGTCGCGATGCGTTCGACTTCGTGCTTGGCGCCCAAGATGACAGAGACGCGCTGGTGCAATTCGGTCGGACGGACGTCGAGCATGCGTTGGTAGCCGTTGATACTCGCGCCACCCGCCGCTTCAATGAGAAAGCTCATCGGGTTGGCCTCGTACAAGAGGCGGAGGCGGCCCGGCTTCTCGGGGTATCGGGCATCCCAAGGGTACATGAAGACGCCTCCGCGCGTCAGAAGACGGTGGATCTCGGTGACCATGGACGCGATCCAGCGCATGTTGAAGTCTTCTCCGCGGACGCCTTGGCTGCCGAGGAGGCACTCGTCCACGTACCGACGGACCGGCGCGTCCCAATGGCGCATATTGGACATGTTGATCGCAAACTCTTTGGTGTCGGGCGCGATCGTGACGTCGTGGCGCGTGCATACAAAGCGCTTGGCCACCGTGTCGAGCGTAAACATGTGGACACCGTCACCAATGCTGACGACAAGGATCGTCTGCGGGCCGTAAATGACGTAGCCGGCCGCGACTTGGCGCGACCCCGGCTGCAAAAAATCGGCGTGCGTGACCGCCTTGGCCGTCGACGGTCGGCGCAGAATGGAAAAAATCGTGCCAATCGAGACGTTGACGTCAATGTTGGACGAGCCGTCGAGCGGGTCAAAGAGGAGGAGGTACTCGCCGGCGAGCGCCCCCGGGTAGAAGGTCTCGTGCTCCTCCGAGCAGAGGCCGCCGAGCGAGGCCTCGTTGGCGCACGCGTTGAGAATCGCGTCGTTCGAGAGAATGTCGAGCTTCTGCTGCACCTCGCCTTGCACGTTGTCGGTTTGCGCCGACCCAATCACGTCGGCGAGCGCGCCTTGCTGAACCAACTCGTGGATCTCGAGACAGGCGGACACGACTTTCGAGAGGATCGCCTTGGGCGTGCGGGCGGACGCCTTGGCGACGAAGTCCGTGAACGACTCTCCGAGGGCTGGCATCGTCGTCGTCGGTTCTATGACTGCGAAAGTCTCGCACGCTGTCGGCAGGAAGGTGACCGGCAGCTGTCGCATTCGGTACGGCGTGGCGCCAATCAGAAACGACCGTTCAACCGAGACAACCGGTTCGATTTTCGAACCGGTTAAGGCCACCGACGCTTCGTTGTCCCTGTTGGATCGCAGGCCGTTTATTGTTCGGGGAAGACCTCGACTGCTGCTTCGCATGCCTACCTGCAATTGACGCAAGCTCCGTGCCCTACGTTGACCTCGTGCGTACTCCCATTGTCCAAGGCTGAGAGTGCCAAAGAGTGGAGAGTGGCGTTTTCGACGTGTTGAGCAGATAGATTTCACTTGAAACACGCAACTTTGAGTTTTGAAACGGGGAAGATCCACACCGCGTTGAACCGTCGCCATGTTGCCGCCCCATAGCTCGCTCGTCAAGTACGACAGCCCGATCTTGATCAGCACGACCAAGGACAAGAAGGCTGGCGGAAGTAAGAAGAGCAAGAAGGATGCGGAGAAGGGCGCGGCGCCCGGCGGTATTCCATCGATCGCGGCCGCCAACTCGACGCAGACTGAGGACATTTTGAACTCGATCTTGCCGCCCAAGTACGCACGTTGATTGCTGCAGCAGCTATCTGCATACCACGGCCTCTTGCGCATAGAGAGTGGACGGAAGACGGCCAGCTCTGGGTGCAGTACGTGTCGAGCACGCCGGCGACGCGCCTTGATGTCATCAACCTTCAGGTAGCCGGCCTTTCTAACCGGATTGGAACCGGCGCCACGGTGGTGCATGTAGGAGCAATTGGACCTCAAGCTCCAGCAAAAGCAGGCGCGCGAGACCGGCATCTGTCCTGTCCGCGAAGAGCTCTACGCCCAGTGCTTTGGTAGCCACGAAGTCGCCGATGCACCCGCACTGAACTGGCACTAGACGAGCTCATTCGCCAAATCACCATCAACTGCGCGGAGCGTGGCCTGCTCCTGCTGCGCGTCCGTGTCGAAACGCGCATGTCGATTGCAGCGTACCAGACGCTGTATGAAAGCAGCATTGCGTTCGGGTACTAATCAGTGTGGGAAATGTGGGAAATGCCACGGACACGACTAGGATGCGCAAGGCGCTCATGGCCGAGCAAAAGAAGATGGACGCGGAGCTCAAACTCAAGCAGCTCGAAGCCGATAGGAACGAGCTCGTGTCCCAAGTCGAAGAGTACGCGTCTCGTTTTGGCGTCGCTTTGGTGACGGAGGCGCGTAGACTCAAGCTGCGCTGCGACGCCATCACCAAGCGCGAAGAAGAGAAGCGGCTCTCGGACGAGAAGAAGCACCAGGACGAGGTCGAGTTGCTCAAGAAAGCCAACGAGCAGCTCAAGGCCAACGAGCAGCTCAAGGCCAACCTTTGGTGAGGGAGGCGCCTCCTCTCGACGCCCAAGTAGACACCACCAACAATACATTGACATGCCTGTGATCGGCGGCGCCTTTGTACCTGCCCACATGCTGCATTAGAGGACAGCACATCGTCGGGCAGTCGCGGCTTGCATCCTCCCGGACGCAACGG